AAAAAAAAAAAAAAAAAAAAGATCCCAGCTGAAATTGGTGGGCATCTCTGCCTTGCCAATTTTCCCGTTAGAATCCTTGCCTCTTGGTTAATCTCAGTCATAGAATTATGTGAGTTTGGGACTGGGGATTTAGCTCAGCGGCATAGCGCCTGCTTGGCAAGCGCGAGGTTGTGAGTTCAATTCCTGGTACTGGGAAAAAAAACCAAAAAAAAATAAAAAATAAAGAATTATGTGAATTTACTTGTTCTCTTTCCAGGTTTTAACATTTAAGGAAATAACTTGGCAGACCCTTCGAATTGAGGCAGATGCTACAGATAATAGTGACCAGGACTCCATAACTACCCCATTGAGGCTTATTACCAACCAAGGCAGGATCCAGATAGCCCTCAAGAGAAGAGTGAGTGTCTCTCTGTCCTCGTGAGTGTCTCTCTAGACAGTCTGGGATTTGGCATTCCCACACTGTTTGGAGCATTAGTGGTCCCTGGAGTGACAGCTGAAGGGAGAGGACCTGCAGTTCGGGGTTGTATGGTACTCACCAGTGAGAAAACGTTTCCTTCTCTTTGTTTTCTTAACTTTGGAAATCACAGTTTTTACCCACATTGCGATGTTGACAAGTTGATTATTGGTGCTTTTGGTTAATCAAGCCAGCTTGCGTAGTTTTGTAAGAAATAGGCTTTTCAAAGGGCTTGATTCTTCCCCTTCACATCCTGGAGAGTGAAAAGCCACCTCTAAAACTGATTGGGAGCCGGGCATGGTGCGTGCCTGTAATCCCAGCACTCGGGAGGCTGAGGCAGGAGGATCTTTGCAAATTTGAGACCAGCTTGGGCTACAAAGTGAGCTCAAGGCCAGCCTGAACTGCATAACAAGACCCTGTCTCAAAAAGACCAAAAAAAAGAAAGAAAGAAAGAAAAAACAACCACTCCCCTAACTGGGAAGTCATGTGAGTTGGAATGGTGCCAGGTGACAAACCCCATGTTCCCTGTGGCTCCCAGACCAAAGACTGCAATGTGGTGGCTTCCAAGCTGATGTTCCTGCTGGATGACCTGCTGTGGGTGCTCACTGACTCACAGCTCAAGGCTATGATGAAGTACGCGGAGTCCCTGAGTGAGGCCATGGAGAAGTCAGCCCAGCAGAGGAAGAGCCTGGCTCCCGAGCCTGTGCAGGTGGGAGACAAAGTGGACACCCTTGGTGGGGCTGGGGAGATGGTGGGCCAGGCCTTACCTGCACCTGGAGCATCTGTGACTCCGGGCTGCTGCTGGCTTTGTGAGCCCCTGTAATGGAGTGTTTATTCTGCTCAGTGGGTGCCTCCTGTGTGGGTCCCTCCTGGGTGTTCGGAAGACGGTGCTAGCCACTGGGAAGGAAAGTAGAATAGCCATCTTGCTCTGTCCTTGGGGCCCTCACTAGTCTGAATGTTGGACCGCAGACGAGTTGGGGTATGGCGTGCTGAGTGATGTGACAGAGGTAAACGCTGTGCCTGAGAGTGCAGAGAGGAGGCATCACTGAAGAGCATTCAGGGAAGGCTTCACAGGGCAGGTGTTCTGCATAGGCTGGCACATGCTGGCTCATGACAGCCTGGAGGGCAACGGGAGTCTGAGAGCCAAGTGCGCTGGCAGGCAGGCAGGCGGGAAGAAGGAGCATCTTGCCAGTGTGAGGTTTTATTCAGCTGGGGCTAACACTTACAGCCTGGGGAGGAGCCTTGCAGGGTCTGGACGGCCCTTTTTCTCGGTCACATGTAGGTCACTCCGCCTGCTCCCACTGCCCAGCAGTCCTGGGCCCAGGCATTTGGTGGCAGCCAGGGCAACAGCAGCAGCAGCAGCAGCAGCAGCAGCAGCAGCAGCCGCCTCAGCCAATACTTCGAGAAATTTGATGTGAAGGAGTCCTCCTACCACCTGCTCATCTCCCGCCTGGACCTGCACATCTGTGACGATAGCCAGTCTCGAGAGCCAGGTACCGTGAAGCCCACCTGGCTTGGGTGGGGCCCCAACCCTGATGAGCCCTGGGCAGAGCCTGGGCGGGGCTGTTCTCCGGAGGAGCCAAGGAGTCTCTCCGCTGGTTTCATTGCTTGGGCCACAGCCCTCCTGTGCGGGCTCTGTCAGTGTGAGGCTTTGCTCTTCGGGGTGCCGTGGCGCCGCCTGTCACACTCAACAGTGCAGATGTCAGTCTCTCCCCACTAAATCAGGATTTTTTTTTTTCCTTTTCAGTGCTAGGGGTGGAACCCAGGGCCTTTACGCTGAACTAGCGCCAGCCCTTTTTATTATTTTATGTTTAGATGGCGCCTCCTGGAGTGCTGGGATTGCGGGTGTGCACCATCACACCTGGCTAAATCAGAACCTTCAAGTGTCTACACTTGAAGCAATATTGAACTTTTTTTTTCCTCCCTGAAGTCCCTCTGGCAATGCTGCTGCTTGCTGGAGGTTGAGAACTATTGGCATAAAATTTGAGGAAGTTAAATTCAGCTACAGGAAGCCTCAGAACTTTCAGGGCTTTTTTGGTGGTTGTGGTTGTTGTTAGCTGAGGATTGAACCCAGAACCTTGGGTATACTAAGCCCATGTTCTACCACCCAGCTGTGAAGGTCAAAGGCACAGAATTTTTTAGATTTTAAAAATCAGTTTAAATATATATTGTGTGCAGTATATTCTTACCAAGCAGCGAGTTATGCCCTGTTCTTGTCGTACTTAGAATAGTTGTCACGCACACAAACAGATTTATTCAGAATGAACAAGGTAATTGATTTGCTTCTTTTTTTTTATAATCCTTGAAAAAAATCACTTAACCTTTTGCTTAATTTCTCTGAGTTTCCTCATTTGTAAAATTGGGTGAAATCATCTGTTAGTCATTTACCTTGAAGACTGTTGCCTGGCTTAAATGAGATAATCTCCTGGATTGGAGGATATGTGTGTGTGTGTGTGTGTGTGTGTATGTGTAATCTTGGGGATTGAATTGGAGGATGTGTGTGCGTGTGTGTGTAATCTTGGGGATTGAATTGGAGGATGTGTGTGTGTGTGTGTGTGTGTGTGTGTGTATAATCTTGGGGATTGAACCCAGGGCCTTTGCACTGAGCTTTTTATGTTGAGACAACATCTCACAAAGTTTCCCAGGTTGGGCTTGCTCCCGTGATGTGCTTTTCTCAAGGATGCTGGGATTACCGGCATGTGCCACCACACCTGGCTTGGAGGACCCTTAATTATAAGCAGATGTTACGCTTTATTACTCTGCTGCTCATTCTACTTTTTTTTTTTTTTTATCTTTTTGTATTGGGAATTGAACCCAGGGACACTTTACCACTGAGCTACAATCCCTGGCCCTTTTAAAAGCTACATTTTATTTTGAAATAGGATCTTGCTAAATTGCCTGGATGGAATTTGACTTTGAGGTTCTCCTGCCTCAGCTTCCCAAAGTGGTGGAAGTATAGGCATGTGCCACTGTGCATGGCTTCATTCTTTCAATAATGTCTCTATATTGTCTTTACATTTGCATATCCTTCCAGGTCTTGGTTGTGGATGTTTATATCTGGTAAATTTTTCTTTAGCTGCTTTTTCTTCCCTAAAGGATATACTTGCCATTTATGTGTGTATGGGGGTGTAGGTATGTGTGTGTTTGTGTGTATATATGTGTGCATGGTACTGGGGGTTGAATCCAGGGAGCACTAAGTTGCATCCCTAGCTCTTTTTATTTGGAGATAAATTTGCTAAATTTCTCAGTGATCTGGAACTTACTATCCTCCTGCCTTAGCCTCCTAAGTAGATGGAATTGTAGCTATGTGCAACCATATCTTTATGCTGCCCCCCTTTTGAGACAGGACCTCACAATATAGCAGAGACCAACCCAGGTGTGGCGGTGGACACGTGCAATCCCAGCACTCAGGAGGCTGAGGCAGGAGGATTGTTGTGAGTTTGAGGCCAGCCTGGGCTACAAAGTGAGCTCAAGCCCTGCCTGAAATGCATAGGGAGACCCTATCTCAAAAAGGTAGATAGATAGATAGATAAAAAATGGAAGTAAGTAAAATTAATTTTGAGCGGGTACTGGGAATTGAACTCAGGACCTTGCACTTGTCAGACAGGCGCTGTGCTGCTGAGCTGTATCACCAGGCCTTAACAATTCATTTTAATTAAAAAATACATTAATTCTTCATGTGCACTAACCACATTTCAAATGTTCAATATAATCTATAAACCGTAGAACATGTCTGTCATCATAGAAAGTTCTGTAGGACCGGGCTGCTGTAGAGACTTCTTGAAGGTGACACCTGGTGCTTTTGTCACAAGGTGCTCTGGTAGCCAGGTGTTTGTATTGCTGGCCAACATGTTCACTTGTCCCTTGGTATGAGAAGGGACTTGAGTGGGAACTGATGGGTTCCTTGGGTCAGCTTGGCTTGAGGTGTCATAATTTTGTCTCTTAAAATCAAGTTGGAGTTGGGCATGGTGGCGCACACCTGTGACCTCAGCCCTCGAGAGATTGAGGTGGGAGGATTGCCATGAGTTTGGGGACAGCGTGGACTACACAGAGAGACTCTGTCTTAAAAACAAGAAAACAAAAACAAAAAAAAACCCAAAACAAAAAAATCAAATTGGAGCTGTTGGTGACAGAAGGGGAAAAGAATCACTGGCCTCTTTGTAGCTGTTTTCTTTCAGAATAAAACCTGTGAACCATAGACTTCCCCCACCTCTCTTGAGGCCAGGCTACTTTCCTCCCACCGGCTCACTGGAGAATTGGTTGCAGGGTTGGTTGGTTCATTGGTTGGTTATTTATTTATTTATTTATTTAATTTATTTATTTAGAGGCAGGGTCTTGTTGTCCAAGCTGGGTTGAATCCTTCAACTCTTGATCTTCCTGCTTTAGGCTCACATGTAGCTGGGATTATAGGCATGCACCACCATTCCCGTCTTTGAAAATGTTGATATTTATGTACACTTTTACCATTTATGTCTTATGAATGATGGTGTGTACAGTTAGGTTGGTAATTGTTCTGTTTGATTTTGATTGTAGATCCTATTTCAGTATGCTTGGTCATGTGGTCTGCTGTCCTTTTAGCTTTAAATAGCACCAATGGACAGAGTATGGTTGTGGAACCCTCTTCCCGTAGCCTAGGCCATGCAGTTTTCACATGAAATGATATCACTGTCAGGTGAAGAGTGGCCTTTTCGTTTAAACAGCTTTATTGAGAGGTAATTAATATACCCTGCAGTTCTTTTAGGTTACACAACATTGATGATTAGTGTCCTTCCATTTGTTCAGAGTTGTACAATCATTACTACAACCTAATTTTGGGACATTTTTATCCCTCTAACCCGTACCCGTTAGCTGTATTCTCTTTTTGGTAGCCCTAAGCAAGCGCTAATCTTTTTGTCTTGGTGTTTGTCTACTCTAGAAGTTGGAAATTGGTTTCAAGGGTTGGGAAGGTCTGAGAAATAATAGTTTTGTGGCCTTCCAAAACTTAACCCTGACAAAATCTCTTTCTCAGGGATTTAATTTTTCCTGTTGGGTTTTCATGGGTATCACATGAGCAGTATTGACCTTGAATTCGTGGATAGTACACAAAATCTTGGAAGATCTGCGCTACAGCTGTGGCAAGTAGATGGCTATGATCAGAAGACTCTCTTTATGGAGTGCTAGATCTCAAAGCTGTACAGCAAGGGATGGCCTGCTCATGCCTGTTGGCTGCCACTGGCTGCATGCTAATGTGATTCTCAGTATTTCTGTGATTTGCACTTTGAAGATTAAATGAAAATAATTTAAGTCTCTAAAAGTTGTTCAAGCCTTTATTAGTTTAGTCAGTTGCTCAAAGGAAAAAAGGTTGACAATATCTGAATGAGTATCTAATAGCTAGTTTAAGAGTGACTCTCATATCAGGCACAAGGTAAACCTTCAACTCTTGTAGTGGCACAGGCTTATAATCTCAGCATGTGGGAGGCTGAAGCAGGAGGATGGCATGTTGAAGGCCGGCTTGGGTTGCATGGTGAGGCCCTGTCTCAAAAAACCAAGGAAAAGAGGCTGGGGATTTAGCTCAGTGGCACAGCACCTGCCTGGCAACTGCAAGGTTGTGAGTTTGATTCCCGGTACTGGAAAAAAAACAAATAAACAAACAAACAAAAAAAAAAATCAAGGAAAAAGAAAAAAGAAAAAAAGTTAGAAGTTCAGTAAAAACAATTGTCAAAATTTTAGTTGTTTTACTTTTATTGAAAAAAATAAATTTGAATAATTATAATTTTGATTATATGGCTATTATGTATTTATATAAATTGCTAATTTATATAGCAATGTATACATTACAGTTTATATAAATAATCACATTATACATTATCAGCAAATATAGTTATAATATAAGATAAATTTTTTTTGGTTTTTGAGATAGGGTCTTGCTATATAGTCTAGGGTGGCCTTGAACTCGAGGTGATCCTCCTGCCTCAGCCTCTTGAGTGCTGGGATTACAGGTAATTACTTTAAAATACTTCATTTTACTTAAAATCTACTTGTGTTTCTTAACCCTGGATTGAAGAAAGAAAAAGCTTTGTATATATACTTTTAATATGTGAAGCACAGGTAAATATTATATACACACACAGATATAGAGGAAGGCTCAATTCAGAAAAAAAGTCTAAAATGGTTCTTTGCTGGGAGAGGTCATTATGAAAGAAAGGTTGAAAAGCAGAAACTCGTGTAGGTGTTTCTCTTGGTAGGTAGGTGACTAGTCTAGATTTTGGGATAGTGAAGTCTATATTGGATCCCTATTACCTGCTTGTTGGAAGTCTACCAGCTTATATCTAGAAGCTTCTGTGGTGTTTCCTTCCATGGAGTCTGTGGTGTTTTTCCTCAAATTTAGTGTCTCCAATCTACAAGGCTCTGTGCTAGATACACCAGTAGGGGTCAGGGTGGAACTACAAAATAGGATAGGGGGGCTGGGGATTTAGCTCAGTGGCACAGTGCCTGCCTGGCAAGTGCAAGGTCATGAGTTCGATTCCTGGTACCGGAAAAAATAAAAAAAAAAACCAAAAAAACAGACAAAAATAGGATAGGTCAGATTACAAACATACACACACACACACACACACACACACACGGAAGAAATAGTTCCTGCTTTACAGTTTTTTAGTCTAATTGGAGAGAGAGAAACATGAATAGTTCATTTACTTAGTAAGAATTCAGTGTAAACTCAAGACAAATATGTTTGACTTACTGCTAAAAGTTCCAGTCTTCCTATAGTATCCTACATTTTTAATGTCCCTGTTTGTGCATTGCTTTTAGTGTTCCACAAAGGTGTGTAGGTATAGTTCGTCATAATTAACTGGTATTGCAGTTGAAGCTCTGTGCCAGCATGTCAAGGGAAATAATATGGGTTCTGATTTTTGTTTTGTTTTGTTTTTAACTTTTGTTGTTGTTGTTGTTGTTGTAGGGGGAGAATCTGGCTTATGCTTCTCCAAGTGTTGTGCAGAGATACAGCAGTACTAATATTGTTAGGGTTGGGGAAGCAATCAGTCAAGAGTGTGTCTGTGGGAAGCGTAGGATGAAAATTCCTGAATCACCTCCTGAACTACAGGGTGGCGCACACCTGTAATCCCAGCATTTGGGAGGCTGAGACGGGAAGATCACCACGAGTTCAAGGCCAACCTGAACTACATAACAAGACCTTGTCCCAAAAGACCAAAAATAAATAAATGAAATTCAGTTCACTTCCTGAATCACAATTTTTCATTTTCTTTTGCTTTTGTGGAAATCTGGCAGCCACTTAGAGACCACGGACTATACTTTTTGTGGATCTTTTAGAACCTATCCACCGACTATTGCAAGTCCAAAGAGGAAGCCGCAGCCTTGCAAGTCACCTGACGTTAGGGCCTTTCGGCGGCACTGTTATTGGCTGGGATTGGCGCTGGCACCAGGGCACTTGTGAGTGCTCTGGTAGTGGTTCGGCTGCTCTGCTCCTGCTGCACCTGTTCACCTGCATTTCTTTCACAGGTGTCTCTGCAAACAGACTCATGGGTGGCGCCATGCAGCTTACTTTCCGCAAGATGGCATTTGACTATTACCCGTTCCACTGGGCAGGTTAGGAGAACTCTGAATGGGGTGTGCTCTCAAGTGGTCCGAAATATTGAGGGCAGGTCTGGGGCCCATCCCTGGCTGCCCAGCAGGCGCGTGGCGGGATTGTCGCAGGTGCACAGAGAGGTGTGGGGAGTGTCCCTTCAGCAGGACAGCTTTTGGAAACCTGGATCCCGGTGCCTGATGAGAGGAAGTGGGGCAGGGAGGCGATGCCTGAGATGTTGCTTTTGGTTCCCTGCTATATCTGGAGCCTCTCCCGTGCTCCATGGTCAAGGCTGGCAGTCGCAGCCAGCCTGTGGGAGCCTGAGGGAAACATCACATGTGAAGTCCAAGAGAACTCAGGGACTCTCCCCATGGCTAATTTTTCTTATCCCAGAGAATTCTGTATTGGGGGTGAAGGGTCAGATTCTGCTGTGTGTCTGTATTTTCAGGAAGGAAAGTTTGGAACATTGGCTCATGACTTTGGGCTAAGATCTTTTAGTGTCTTTGTTCCACAGGTGATAGCTGCAAACACTGGGCTCGGCACTGCGAGGCCATGGAGACCAGAGGCCAGTGGGCCCAGAAGCTGGTGACGGAATTCCAGACTAAGATGGAGAAGTGGCATGAAGAGGCGGGGCTGAAGACGTCCTGGCACCTGGGGGTGGATGCTCCCTTCCGGAGAAAAGCAGGTTGGATATTAGGAACTGGGGGACTTCCGTTGCTTAGCCGCTTGCCGTGTATCTTTGAATAACCAGTGGGATAAAGCAATGGAGTAGCTAGTTAACCTGACGGTATCACAGGGAGCGACATCAGTGACATTTTCTTAATGGAGTCCTCTGTCCTCAGTAATAACTGCAGTGTTAAGGACAAGCTGTCATCACTTCTATTCAGTAGGCAGTTACTTTGGTTTTCAGCATAGCTTTGAGTTCCACCCAGTGTTCAGTTCTTTTCTATTTAGAGCATTAATGATTTTAGGAGTTTTTTCCTTTGAGGTGCTGGGGATTGAACCCAGTGCATCACACATGCTAGGGAAGTGCTCTACTACTGACGTAGACCTCCAGTCCTTTTCATCTTTTTGAGACAGTTCTACTAAATTGCTTGGGCTGGCCTTGAATTTATGCCTCCTCCTGCCTCAGCATCCCGAATAGCTGGGATTATAGGCATATACTATCATAATCTCTGCTCTTAAGATTTTTACTTTGCTAATTTGTTCCTAAAAAGAGCTGAATGTATGTTGATTCTCTTTCCTACCTTATGTCTATGTAGCTTCTCTCTCCAGTCCTCAAAAGCACCCTCTTGAAAGGATGCCCTCACGGGGCCGGCAGGCTGCCTTCCGACCTCCAGCATGGCATCGCCTGCGCTCTAGCTGCATGGTTGTGCGAGTGGATGACCTGGACATCCACCAGGTGAGGACGTGGGCAAGCTTGGCTGGGAGGCAGTGCCACAGCCTGCTGGGAAGACAGCGGGAGCTGTGGGCACAAACTGGCATCCGGGAACTGTTTGCCTCCTGTCTGGGTAGATTGACAGTTTGGTCTCTTTTGTTCTGACTGTGGCTGCTGAGAAGAGGACATGTGGGAATTCTCCCAGTTTTCCTCCAGGTGCCCTAGCACAGCCTCCTGCTAATGTGGGGCGGTGTGAGGCTGGTGTGAGAGCAGCTGGGATGTGTGAGAAGCACTGTGTTCCCACGACGGGCTCGGCTTCGGGGGTGGTATGGCTCCTAGGAGGCCTCACACTCCTTCGAGGAAGCTGCCTTCTAGGCTGGGGCTACTGCAGGTGCTAACGGGAAGTTGTGGTTGCTCAGGTTTCTACAGCTGGACAGCCAAGCAAGAAGCCTTCTACACTCCTTTCCTGCAGCCGCAAGCTCCACAGCCTGCCCGCTCAGGTCTCTGCAATTCATGTCGAGTTCACCGAGTATTACTTCCCGGATAACCAGGAGCTCCCAGGTGCGCACGGGGCTGGCCACGTGTGTCCAGATCACATTCTTCACTTTCAGCTCTGGGGTCCCTATAGATTCTCATGTGTTGCTAGAGGTTTTAGGCATTTGGGTTGTTTCTGTTAACACTTTTGTTAAAAACTGTGCCCCGTGTAAATGTGTGTCTTTGCTCTTTCTCTTTTTTTTTTTTTTTTTTCTTTTTTTTTTGGTTTTTTCCCAGTAGCGAGAATCTAACTCACGACCTTGCGCTTGCCAGGCAGGCTCTGTGCTGCTGAGCTAAATCCCCAGCCCCTGCGCTCTTGATAATAAAGTAAATATTAGCTGGTAAGTAACCCAGCTGCTGCTTTACACGTGATTTTTTTTCTTCTGTTTTCCAGTTCCCTGTCCCAATCTCTACATTCAGTTAAATGGTCTGACATTTACTGTGGATCCAGTCAGCCTGCTCTGGGGAAACCTCTTCTGCCTCGATTTATACCGCAGCTTGGAGCAGTTTAAAGCTATCTATAAGCTGGAAGATTCAAGGCAGAAAGATCAACACTTGGACATCCGGCTGGATGCCTTCCGGTTGAAGGTAGGTAAAGAGTAGGGTTTTTGTCCTCTGTCGGTACCCATAACTTCATTTTTCCCGTGGCCATAATCCACAGTTCTCCTCTGCCTCTGTCCAGCTGATGGAAGCAAGAAAAGCAGGTTCACTGCCCAAATGGTTTCTTACATGTGCATTAATGGTGGTGTGCTGAGATACTCAGATGGCTAATCTGAGTTGTGTTTCATTTTCTCTGAAGGTGAGCTTCCCACTGGAGAAGCGAGAGCAGGCGAAGTTGCATCGTCCCCAGGCCCTTGTCTTCTCTTCATCTGGCATGGTTGCCACCAATACCCGTCATGCCCCACATTGTGGCTGTCCCGACCTCCAGAGTGTCTTCCGGGGTTTTGCTGCTGCTGAGTTCTTTCACTCTAATTATGATCACTTCCCCAAGGTACCTGGGGGCTTTAGCCTTCTGCACATGCTGTTTTTGCACCATGCCTTCCAGATGGATTCTGGCCTCTCCCGGCCTAGTACCTTCCCTCCCCAGAGGCCTGAGGCTTCCCAGGACCTCTGGTCCATCCACTTTACCCAGATCTCCTTGGACTTTGAGGGAACAGAGAACGTAAAAGGCCGTCCCTTGAATTTTGTGGCCCCTTTCCCCTTGTCCATGTGGGTCTGCCTGCCTCTCCGCTGGCAACAAGCCCAGGCCCGCAGGCTCCTTTTGGCCTCAGAGGGGAGGCTCAAACCATCAGCCAGTTTTGGAAGTCCTGTCCAGTCTGAGGCTCTGGCCCCCGATTCTGTGTCGCATCAGAGGTCAAAGACTGAGCATGACCTGAAGAGCCTGTCAGGCCTCACGGAAGTCACAGACATTCTAGGAGAAGGCAGTGGTGCGGCAGACAGCAAAGGGCCTCCCACAGAGCTGGAGGACGCAGCTGATGTCCATATGCTCGTGCACACCCCTGCCCACATCCGCGTGAGGCTGGACCACTACCAGTACTTGGCCTTGCTCCGCCTGAAGGACGTGCTGCAAGGGCTTCAGGAGCAGCTGGCCAAGGACACACAGGCCATGACTGGGTCTCCCCTGCAGGACCAGACAGCTTGCATTGGAGTCCTCTTCCCCAGTGCAGAGGTGGCTCTGCTCATGCATCCTGCCCCTGGGGCTGTTGATGCGGACTCTACAGGCTCAGATACCACCAGCCTCATAGATTCCGAGCTGTCTCCCTCAGAGGAGCGGGAGCCGAAGTCTGACACATCCTCAGAGCAGGGCCCCGCAAGCCCTGAGAAGGTCCTGGAGGACAGCAGCACGGAACATATAGATGCGTCCCAGGAGAGGCCACACAGCAATGGAGAGCTGCAGAACCTGGGTCCCCCGGCACAGCAGGTGGCAGGGAAGGGCCACGAGGCTGTCGAGTCCCTACAGGCCAAGAAACTGAGCAGAGCCCAGGCCTCCAGCTCTCCAGCTGTGTCGAAGTCCCCTGTGGGCAGGGATCCTGCTGTGAATGGACAGGGCGAGCCCATCCCCCTGAAGAACATTGAGGGAGAATTATCAAGTGCTATCCACATGACCAAGGACGCCACCAAGGAGGCTCTGCATGCCACCATGGACCTCACCAAGGAAGCAGTGTCCCTGACTAAGGATGCCTTCAGTCTGGGCAGAGATCGAATGACCTCCACCATGCATAAGATGTTGTCCCTACCCGCAGCCAAGTGAGTGGTTCTCTGCCTCCTTCGATCCCCATCTCTTCCATTGGTTCTGACCTTTGGGCTACTTCTCAGATGGGTCCAGGGAACACATACAATGACTTACTCAATGGTTATTGCTTCTTAGAACCAGCTTATCTTCCCTTTCACAGACCCACAGGTTCTGCCTCTGTTCTGCTGCATCACAGTAACAATCCCTGGCGTCTGTGTAATATTCTTTTCAGTGGGCTTTTTTTCTCTTTTTGAGACAGGGTCTCACTGTGCAGTTCAGGCTGGTTTTGAACTCACTTGGTAGGCCAGGCTGGCCTCAAACTCCCAATGATCCTCCTGCCTCAGCCTCCCGAGTGCTGAGATTACAGGCATGCACCACCACACCCAGCTCTTCAGTGGGCTTTTATGTAGTTATTTGTTTGATTTGATTCTCAGGGCGGTGTGGTAAGGCAGCTAACAGACATTTGTATCCCCAGTGTATAGCTCAGTGTATTTGTATCCTCAGTGTATAGCCTCAGTGGAAACTGAGGCTTGAGAGAGGATGCATTTGTCCCTTTAACAACTCATAACTAGAATAGCTGGGCCTTGGGACTTGCTCTTTATGGTACCCCTTACCAGGGTCTGCCAGAGTACCAGGGAAGGGAGAATTTCGTCCATTCCTTCAGCCATTTGTTTGTGGTGCTGGGGATCAATCCCAGGATGTCATGCTGTGCTAGGGAAGCACTCCATTACATTTGTATTTGCAAAGCATTTGTAACCTTGCCCAGTTTCTCTCACTTCCCTGAAGGAGTCTTCTTTTGTCTTTGGCTGCTGTCTTCTTCCTTTTGTCTTAAAAATGTCAGCATTCCCTAGGCTATCCACAGTCAGATCACCTTAATCATAATTTTTGTTTCTTTAAATTATAAGAATGATTTGTGCTCGTTGTGTTGACAGTGTAGGAGATCAGAAGAATGAAGAAGGAAGCTAGATGTGGTAGCTCATGACCGTAATTTCAGCTACTTGGAAGGCTGAGGCAAAAGGGTTGAAAGTTTGAGGGCAGCCTGGGCAATTTAGTGACTCCCTGCCTCAAAATTAAAAAAAGAACTGGGGGTGTTGCTTGGTGATTGAGTGCTTGCCTAGCACGTGCAAGGCTGTGGGTCTAATGTGCAAGACTGCAAAAAACAAAAGTAGAGGCAGCCACTATTTACATACAAGTTTCCTTCTCTCCCTTCCTTCCTTCCTTCCTTCCTTCCTTCCTTCCTTCCTTCCTTCCTTCTTCTTTCTTTCCTTTTCTTCCTCCCTCCCTGTTTCCCTCCCTCTCTTCTTTTCTCTCTCTCTTCTTCCTTCCTTCCTTCCTTCTTTCCTGCCTTCCTTCCTGCCTTTCTTCCTGCCTTCCTGCCTTCTTGCCTTCCTTCCTTCCTTCTCAGTCTGCAGTTCAGACTGGCCTTGCACTCACTGTGTAGCCCAGGCTGGCCTTGAACTCACTGAGATCCTCATGCCTCGGCCTCCCAGTGCTGGGATTACAGGCACTTGCCACTATCCCCAGTTCTTCCTACATCTGAGGACTGTGTTTTTTTGTTTTTTTGTTTTTTTTATAGTGCTAGGAATTGAACCCAGAGCCTTGTGAATGTTAGGCAAGTTCTCTCTCTTTTTTTTTTTTTTTCTGTCTTTTTGAGACAGGGTCTCACTATGCAGTTCAGGCTGGACTTGAGCTCACTTTATAGCCCAGGCTGGCCTCGAACTCACAATGATTCTCCTGCCTCAGCCTCCCCAGTGCTGGGATTACAGGCGTGCACCACCATGCCTGGCTATCCACTGTCATTGTTAAATGGCCTTATTTTTGTGAATATTACTCTGTTCCCATGGTAAGTACCTAAAGTCTTTCTTTCGAATATAAACCTACAAGTGAAATGACTGAGTCAAATGCTACCAGCATTTTTAAGGTTTTCGATGTGTCTGCCAAACTTTCAAGTTTGTCACAATCTGCGCTCCGAATACTGAGTTGTTTTATTTATCTCTTTACCTCTGCTGTCGCCTGTGCTCCCAGTCCTGAATGACCTCCCCTCCTCTGCTTTTTATTCGAAACCGTCTGTTAGTGTGTGGCTCTCACACCACACAGCTAAGGCCGTATGCCTTCCCAGACAGCTCTTTCTTCTTTGGGTAAGAGCATTCTGTGGCTCAGCCGCCCGAGCGTTCTAGCCCTCTGCCTCTTACACTCTTTTGCCGTGTTCTGACCATCACTCCCACATCCGTGGTTCTTCAGGTTTTAGTGTGTGTCCGCATCACACGAAGGGTTGTGAAAACATGGTTTGTTAGCTGGTGTGGGGCGGCACCCGCCTGTAATCCCAGCTGCAACAAAGGATTGCGAGTTTATTTGTCAAAACAAAACAAAAACCCAGTGCTGAAAAACCAAAACCCAGGTCGCAGAGTCCTGTCCCTGGACTGCTCTCTCAGTAGGTGTGAGATGGGCTGAGGGTTCCCACCTGCAGACCTCGCTCTTGGCGCGGGTGCTCCTGGTGTGACACGCTGCTCTGGGGAATCGCACATCGCTGTTTGCTCTTCACTCCCACATTGGGCTTTTGTAGTAAATCCTTGACATCTGCATTGAGAAACCCAGATCAGGCTGCCTAAACCACAGGCATCGTCGTGTCGTTTCTCTGCTCCAAAACCTCAGGCTTTTTCCTTACAACCCCTGACCGCTGAGTGTAGTTGGATGTGTTTTTGCTGTGGTGGCCGTACTAGGATGGAACCCAGGGCCTTGAGATGGTAGCCGAAGACTCTGCCACCGAGCCATACCCCAGCTTCTTGTGTGAGCTTCTTAGCATTGTTCTCCCAACACACCCTGTGCACACCTAGGTCGCGCTGGTCCGTAGTCTCATTCCCTGTCTGGGCTTTACCTTTTTGGTGCTGGTTTTCCCTGTTGAATGTCTTTTCTCTTTCATAGCCCTTCAAGCACTCAAATACCATCTCCTTCCACAAACCATTCCTCTTTTCATTTTCTTTTTTCAGCACTGGGTATTGAACCCAAGGAGTGTTGAATTATATCCTCAGCCCCTTTTATTTTATGTTGAGGCAGGGTCTCACTGTGTAGCCCAGGTTGACCCAAACTTGTGATCTTCCTGCCAAGCCTCCTGAGTACGTAGGGCTACAGGTGTGTGCGTGGCTCACAAAGCCATTCTTGATCTCCTTCTCATCCCTTCTCCTCTCTCATAGTGCCGGGCCTTTGGTTTGTGCCATTGTCCCACTTTGCTGGCATGTGTGACTTAACTGCCATGTAATGTTTTATGAGAATCAATTTCCTATCTCCCAATAGATGATAAATTCTTTGAGGACAGGGGCTGCTTTATCCTCAGTTTGTCCACCTTGCAGCCTGCCTTGTGCCTGATGTGGTGCCTGCATGCAGACGCTCCGCAGTCAGGACTTGTGTGAGGATTGCAGGTGGGCTCGGGCCGTCCCTGCACCAGGGTGTGGGGGGCGCATGGTTTTCGCGTCTCACTTGGCGCCATGTAACCTTGCCATTCGGTGTGGATTAGCTGTTTACACAGAACACAGCTAAAAGTGCTGGAGTAAGAATTCAGAAAGGCCAGTGGTTGAAAAATAACTTCATCTTTGATAGCAGGCAATGGGCAATACCAAGTTAATGTTCACATTAACTCTCTGAGGGGAAGCATATGGCCTTGGGGCAGCAACAAACATGACTTTCAAGCCACATTTGTTGGTTTTTGTTATTTTTAAAAACAGGGAGCCCATGGCCAGGGCAGATGAGGGGGCGGCAACCCCAATGAGTGGAGGAGCTGGCCGACTCCGATTTTTCTCCATGAAGAGGACGATGTCTCAGCAGTCATTCGATGGTGTCCTGTTGGACAACAGTGGTCCTGAAGACCGAATTTCAGTGGACAGCGATGGCAGCGACAGCCTTGTGATGCTCCTGGAGTCGGGTATGTGGGAGCAAGCTGCAGAAGCTGGAAAAGCTTCTCTGTTGCTGGTATTCAAACTAACAAGATTCAAGTGGAGCTGAGATTTGGTATGCAGACTCATTTAAGTGCTAGAGTTTGAACTCAGGGCCTTTACACGAAGCTACATTCCCAGCCTCTTTTTTACTTTTTTTTTGAGATAGGGTCTCACTGAGTTGCACAAGCTGGACTTGAATTTGTGATCCTCCTGCCTCAGCCTCCCAGAGTGTTGGGATTGTAGGTGTGCACCAGCATGCTCAGTGGACGTTTTCTTACCAAAACAAAGATGATAGAAAATGTAGTAGATCTGTGGTTCTGGCTTTATCTCTACATTTTCTAGGTTATTGGTTAATACGTGATCTCTATCACAGAAAAGGATTAAAAACAAAGGCAAAATTACCAGTCTCATAGCCACAAATTAATATAATAGGATTTGTTTCATACTGTATTTGATATCCATGGTAAGAGTGTTTGTTGTCTGGGTTTCTCTCACTTGCTCGCTTGTTCCCTCCCTCCCTCTCTTTCTTTCCCTGCTTACATATTTTATTGTTGAAAAATAACTCATTTTTTGCCTATTGAAAAAAGTGAGTAACCTTTAGGAATTAAATCAGTCACTTCTGGGAGTTATACTAGTTCTTTTACCTTATTGACGTAGAAGCATTTTTTTTTTTTTTTTTTGGTACCGGGAATCGAACTCATGACCTCAGGCTTGCCAGGCAAGCGCTTATACTGCTGAGCTATGTCCCCTGGCCTGAAGCATTTTAAATGATACTTGAGAGTATCTAAATAGAGAATATACTGTTTCTCTTTTTATTTTATTTTTAGTAGACATTGACAAATTGTAATTGAATGTTTCTGAGTAAAAGTGATAGTGTGACCTATAAAATGTGGAATTTTTGTATTGAGCTAATTAACATATTTATTACTTCAAATCTGTACCATTTATTCCTCCTGCCTGAGCTTTGTACCTTTTGACCTATATGACTCCCTTCCTCCCACTCTCAGCCTCTGGTATGTCATTCTGCATTTTGCTTCTGTGTGTTCGATTGTTTTAGATTCCATATGTAAGTGAGAGCATGTGTTGTTGCCTTTCTGTGCCTGGCTTGTTTCATTTAACATGATGTCTTTCAAATTCATCTGTATTAGTTTTTGTTTTAGCCAGGGTCTTGCTATGTAGTCCAAGATGGCATTCAACTGACTATGTAGTCCAGGCTGGCTTTGAACTCACATTGATCCTCCTGCCTCAGTCTCCCAAGTGCTGGGATTACAGGTGTGCGCCACCCCTCCTGGCTCAGCTGTGCGGTTGTAAGTGACAGGACTTCCTTCTTTTTAAATGGTGAATGATACTTCATTGCGCACACATACCATACTTTCTTTATCCATTCATTGGTTGAGGGACACATGTAGATTGATTCCTAACTAGTATTACAAATAATGCGCTAATAAACATGGGGATTCAGACAGCCTTGCCACATTCTGATCTCAAATTTGAAGCGTATCCACAGAAGTGGGATTGCTGGGCCAGATGGTGATCCTGATTGTGGTTTGTTTTCAGGCGTCTGTGCAATTTGCATTCCCTCTAGCCATGTCCTGGGCTCTGCTTCTCCCTGTCCTTGACAGCGCTTGATCTCTGTGTCTTTGTGATAATGTCCTTTCTGAGAGGAGTGAGGTGACAGCTGACTGTGGCTTTGATGAGAATGTACTGTTTAAGCTAGGTGGTGTGTGGCTCGTTTGTTTTTATTATTTTTCACTTTGGAAACATTTAAACATGTGTAAAATAGACTGAATTAAATCATGAACGCTCATCTCCAGTCTTCAGCACAGCACTCATGGCCATTCTTGTTTCATATGTGCTGCTGCCTACTTCCTTTGATCTTGTATTGTTTTAGATAAAGCAAATCCCCAGCATCATTTTGTCCATAAATAATTTCAGTTGTGCATTGATAAAAAATACAGAATCAAAAGCGTTTTAAAGATTATAGTAAAATACACATAAATTTTGCCCTCTCAACCATTTCTTTTTTTTTTTTTTTTTTTGGTTTTTTTTTTTGGTTTTTCTCCGGTACCGGGAACCGAACTCACGACCTTGCGCTTGCCAGGCAGGCGCTTTTGCCGCTGAGCTAAATCCCCAGCCCCTTCAACCATTTCTTTTTGAGACAGGGTTTTGCTGTGTAGTGCATGCTGGCCTTGAATTCGCTTGTGTAGCCCAGGCTGGCCTCAAACTCGTGATGGTCTTCCTGTCTCAACTTCCTGAGTGCTGAGATTACAGGCACGTGCTAGCATGCCTGGCCTCTCAACCATTTTAAAGTGTACAGTTCAGTAGAGTTTTTGTTTTTGTTTTTTTTTTTTGAGACAAGGTCTCACCATGCAGTTCAGATTGGCTTGAGCTCACTTTGTAGCCCAGGCTGGTCTCGAGCTCGTAACGATCCTCCTGCCTCAGCCTCCTGAGTGCTGGTATTACAGGCGTCCGCCACCACTCCCGGCTTAGTTCAGTAAAGTTAAATACATTCTCATTGTACTCAACACCACCGTCTATCCTGAGGACACTTGTAAAACTGAAACCCTGTTCTGTCCACAAATTGGGTGTTTAGGTAACTCATGTTAGTTGAGTCATACAATGTTGTTCTTTTGTAATAGCTTCTTATTCTCGATATAATGTCCTCAGTGGCCTCTTTGTTGTAGCATGCGTCAGAGTTTCCTTCCTTTTAAAAGCTAAATATCACTGGGTGGCACACACCTATAATCCCAGCATTTGGGAGGTTGAGGCAGAAGAATCACTGGGAGGGAGTTCAAGGCCAAGCTGAGCTACATAGTGAGTTCAAGGAGAGCCTGAACTGCGTAGTGAAACTCTGCCTCAAAACAAAACAACAAAATAAAAGCTAAATATTGTTCTGTTACATGAGTGTAACCACATTTTGTTTATTCATCCATCTACCGGTGGGCATTTGGGCTATGTCAGTGTGTAGTTTTTATTAAATGTTGCGCAATACCATTATTGTACTTTTAAAAATTAACAATAATCTCTGGGTGTGGTGGTGCATGCCTATAATCCCAGCACTCAGGAGGCTGAGGCAGGAGGATTGCCATGAGTTTGAGGCCAGCCTGGGTTACCTAAATGAGCTCAAAGCCAGCCTACAATATAGTGAGAACCTGACTGAAAAAAAAATGTTAAATTCATCAAATATCTAGTTAATTTCAAATTTCTGGTTGTCTCATAAGTGTCCCAAATATTTTTGTTTTGCTTTTACAATTAATCTTAGTAAAGGTTGGGTTTAAACAGACTTGTTTGACTTTTGACCTTTTTCGTTGTTTTTCTCATGCAGAATCTGGTCTAGAGTCTGTTCCGCTGGGCTCTCTTCCAAGTGTCTTGGATGATGCTGGTGTTCAGAGCAGCCCTGTTGTGGATAACTGTGGCCAAGTGTCCCCAGAGGCTGACAGCTTGGTTTCCCCCAGCAGAGAGGACCTTGTCCTTCACCCGGTCAGCTGCACCATTTTCCTCCCTGCGGAGGGTGGGCAGGGGCTGGAAGCCTGGGACTCGGAGCTGAGAGATTCTCTTTTGACAGGTCTCAGTTCTGATCCTGAGGGTGAAGGAGGTGTCTTTTGGGATTGAGGTACGTGGTGAGGACCTGAGTGTAGCCGTGCAAGCAGAAGAACTGGGCCTGCAGCAGCCAGGCACCATGGCACTCTGGAAGTTCCTGCATGGACAGTACCCTGGTAAGGACAGTAGCCGCTCCAGGTGGGCTGGTGGGATTTACTTAAGGAACCCAGAGATTCCCTGGCACCTGTGTGCTGTGGGCAGCTGCTCTAGTGCCACGCCCTAGGCCCATTTCTCCAGTAGCCCGTTAAGGGGAGGATGAACTCTAGAGAAACCTCTTTCTTGCAAGGATCCACCTTGAGCTCTTTCTGGGGCTGTGTTTCCTAGGCTTGTCTCCATCCTCACTGCCTTGGTATGCCATAAGCTTGTCTATGACCATCACGACCTGATCTTAGAACATTTCCATCACCCAAAATAGCCCCCTAGCCATTACTTTAATGACGTCTTCAGTCTATTCGGAACAGACATTTGGGTTGTTTGCAGTTTTTTTGCTGTTTCAACTAGGGTTGCTGTGAACATCCTTGTATATGGTTCAAGCATTTCTCCAGGGTTATATTTCTGAGGACATGGTTCTAGTTCATTAGGGTAGGTACAGCTTCAGCGTCACTGGATAATGCCAGAATCTTCTGCAAAATGGTTATACCAATCTGCAGCTCCATAAATAGGCAAATTGTTCCATTTCCTTGGCTAAACTTGAGATTGTTCTTTATGGAGTTTTGGGGAGAGTAGCTCAGACCCTGCTTGCTTTCATCACTGAAAGATGAGAAGACCAACACTTACAGGCAGAGACACCCAAATTCAGTGGGGTTGACAGTCCTGTGCTTCAGGAGCTTTCCTCGGGCCGTTAGTCCAGTGCCTAAAGTTCATGGTAAGGCCGGCTTTTAGTTGGTTGTCCCCTCTCTTGCACCTTGAGCGGGATTATAGCAAAGTACCTAAGGCCATGGACTGTGCGGTTGGCCGCGTGGGTTTAATACCTTACCAATTGTGTGATTGTGGACAGGTGATTCTCGGTGGCTGTTTCCCTATAATGTGGGAATGGTGATAGTACACGTGGCAGAGGTTTGTTGTGAGTACTGAAGACATGATAAGTGCTTAGAATTTTCCCTGCATTAATTACTTAACACGTCTTCCTTGTCTTTCTTCCCAAAGAGACAACCCTCCAAGAATCCTCAAATGTGCGGACTGACCACATCCGCCCAGCCGTGGGCCTTCGCTTTGAGGTGGGGCCTGGTGCGGCTGTTCATTCTCCCCTGGCTACACAAAATGGTTTCCTGCATCTCGTGCTTCATGGCTGTAACCTCGAGCTTCTCACTTCGGTGCTTAATGGCCTGGGCCCCTTCTTGGAGGACGAGGAAGTGCCAGTAGTCGTCCCAATGCAGATTGAGCTCCTGAACTCCAGTGTCACCCTAAAGGTGAGAGGCAGCTGTGGTTTCTGCACCGGACTCTGTCAGGCAAGGAATTCTTCCCTCATCAATGAAGTGAGGACATGCATGTTAGCTTCCCCTGTGTGGTAGTGCTATGTAAAGTGTGTTCAGCAGCGAAGCTCATGTCTAACCTTAGCCTGCCTTCGGTATGCTTTGTCTGAGCCTCGGTTTTGCTGTCTCTGGAATGCAGGAATGTGTGTAGAACCAGTGGCATTAAACTGCTTCCAGTTGGATGGGAGAAGCATGGTTGTTACCAAGATCGCCCTGAGCTGGCTGGGGACTTGACACGGTTTTCCTTTGCTGCAGGATGACATCCCCCCCATCTATCCAACGTCCCCGGGCCCTGTCCCCGTCACTCTGGCCATGGAGCATGTTGTGCTGAAGCGCAGTGATGACGGTGTCTTCCACATCAGCGGTGAGTTGGGCTCGTCAGTGCCCCGGCCTCTTCGCCTTTTTCCTCTTCTAAGTGAACTGTGCGGCTGTTGCAGCAGTTTGTCACTTAGCACCTTTGCTCTTTTCCTCCAGCTGTTGCTCAGGACAGACCACCTGCTGAAGTACCTAAAAGTGAGAAGAGGCAGCCCCCCGAAGAGCAGGTGTTGCTGGTGCCCCCTGGAGAGGTTTTTGGAGAGCAGGTGAGGACCTAATGAATAGTGACTTCCCATAACCCTTTACGGCTGTGACTATGGACGCCGGAACCCCAGAGGGCTGAAAAGGTCGCTTGTGTTGTGTGCACTGGGCGGTTGGGGCTCCTGTCCTCCAGCAGCAGCTTCTGGGTGTGCTGGCTGAGGATGTGAGCCAGAGCTGGAGGTGGATGTTGGCTGGCCTGTGGCTGTCTCTTCAGCGATCAGCCCTGAGGGAGCGAGGCTCTTAGAAAAGATCTGGTGGAGTTGCCTGGCTCATTGGCCTAACCGGTGGGTTTGTCTGCTTGAATTCCCCCACTTGTTCCCCTTCCTGGCTGTTGTTGCAAGATGGCACTGCCATGTTCATTAACTGTGAACTCCTTGTTCCTCAGGTGAAAGAACTGCCTGCCCTTCAAAAAGAACTTACAGAAACTAAGCAAGCATTGGCCAATGCCAAGCTGGAGAAAGAAACACTTCTTCAGGAGATTAGGAGATATAACCCCCTCTTTGAGCTCTGATAGCAGAGGCTCAGCCGTCTGTGCCAAGGAGAGAAGCGAACACCAGCAGCAGCATTCGGGATGGAAGGCGCTGTCCGGTGTGGACTCGGCTACCGAGGAGGCCCTAGGGACCAGGTGTGCTTCCTCCTGGCTGTTCTAGCTCAGAAGGAGGACAAGGCAGAGCGTAGCCGCATCCCAGGAAAGTGCGGGTAGCTTCGTGCGTGGCTCAAGCAGTGTGTCAGGCCTTATAAAGCCTTTTGGCCCTCTGTGTCCTGGGTGGAATCTTCTCCACCGCACGGGGCCATTTCGCCTCCTGGCTTTATGGCAGAGATAATTGCTTCCGTCGCAGCCCGTGTGAACAAGTCACAGTACTCACCTCCTCAGTCACCCGCAGATCCACCAAAGAGTCCATGTCCCAGAGCTTCCTGAAGCAGGCTGGAGGAGGTCTTGGTCTGAGCTCTGGCCTTGTGAGTGGGTTAGGACAGGAAATAGTCCAGCAGGGGTAGGGTCAGGAGAGGCACACTCATAAGGAAGCCCTGGCCTCAGACTGTTTTGGAGTAGGAGCCAGGCTCAGGTCTTCTCGGCTGACACTACCATCTGCTTGGTTAGGGTCAAACCTCCTTTCAGTGGGAATTTCATCATTGTGATGCTGCAGTAGAAGTAAACAGCCATATCATCTTTCCTCTCTATATAATTTATTTGGAATGAAAATAAAGAAGAAATATTTGCTCTGAGCTAGGTTGCAGGCATGATGTGGTAGGGGATTGGTGTACGGGACCTTGATTCTGAGCCCCTCAACTCCTGCCCTCTGCTACAGCTGCGCCTGACAGGTCTCTTCCTCGGTCTCCCTGGGGTCCCTGCTCATCTGCTTCCCAGCACTGGGACTTCCTACAGGTGGTCACCTGAGTACTTGGTGGCTTGGCAGCTAAATATGTATTTCTTACACTTGAATATATAGATCTTGACCTGTTGCCTCTCGATTCCGCCCATTAGTGTGGGTTTTTTAAATCATGTAATTTTAAGAAAAAGGGAAATTTTAAGGAAAAAGCAAAGCAGAACCAAAACCCTCCTACCCATGTAGGTTTGCCTCTCTCCCCTAGAAAAGTGCTGTTTCTCCCATTTCTTTCTGAATTCTCCAAAACTCTGCCTTCACCATACTGCTCTGTGGTGTGCTTCCAGCTGTGCCAGTTGGGCAGGAGTTCACCAGCTAACTCTCCTCGACCTAGGCAAGATGGTGGGACAGTGAGTTAGGTCACTAAAGCTTTAGTCATATATGACCCACTGAAGGAGAAGTAAAATGGTTTCTTTCGTAGGAAATCATGCTTGACTTGTACACTGTCGTGTTTTTGAGGAAAAAAGAAACATGTTCTTAAAGGAACAAAATCTAATTTGTTCAGGCTTTTCCAGGACTGTTGTTCTTCACTAAGGCAAATTTGTAAACAGCAGTTACTGTGAGATTTTGGGAATTTGTCACTCTTGGGAAACAAATTAGAGACTGAGGAATGAAGAAATGTCTTTTCGGAAAAACTGTGAACACAGGACATTTCCTAAGGTTTGATAGTCCGTTCAACCTTATGTAGGATTTTTATTAGTGACCTAAATGTAGGCTTTTATAATGAACTAAAGTGTTCGCACTTCTAAGCACTGGAAGGTAGATCAGAAGAGATTTTTAAAAACCCCAAAGCCACAGAGGTCACAAGCAAGTCTGTGAACATTCAGAAAAATGATAGGTTCAGGATCGCTCTGTGTAAAGCGATGTGTTTATGGAAGAATAATCAGCTGTGGCAGTGAGAGGTGTAGAACTGGAGAGAGAAGCTGCACCATTGCTGAGAGGATGGGATCAGCGTGCCGTTTTGGCCAGAAGCTGAGCTGCCCTCTCAGCATCATTGGGAGGGGCGCTGTGAACAGCACTAAGGACAGCACCGTACGAGCAACCATGGCTGATGACTATTTTTTTTTTCCCCCCTGTACTGGAGATTGAATCCAGGGCCTTGCACATGCTAGGCAAGTGCTCTCCCATAGAGCTATACCCTCAGCCCTTTGAGATGTTTGTTTCCTGGTACTGGCAATTAAACCCAGGGCCTCTGTGTGCTAAGCAAGTGCTCAGCCATTGAGTTATACCCTCAGGCCTTTAAGATTTTTGTTCTTTGTTTTACGGTACTAGGGATTGAACCCAGGGCTTCTGCACTGAGCTACATCCCAGCCTTTCTTTCATTTTTAAAGTTTTGAGAGAGTGTCTTGCTAAGTTGCTAAATTGCCAGGCTGGCCTCAAACTTGGGTACTCCTCCCTCAGCCTCCCAGATAGCCGGGGTTACAAGTGTGCACCACTGTGCCTGGCCATAGTTATGTTTTAATCAAATTATCTGTGCATTTCTGGTGACCTCATTTATCAACTATATGTAGAAGGGAGGAAATGTCCAGAGAACAGTAAAAGTTCTGAGAAAATGGGGGTGCTTTCAGATGAGGGTGCCCTCTTTAACATCCAGACTGCGTTCTTCAAGGATGACAGCTGCAGGGAGTATTTGATCCCATATGCAGTCAAGAGCAAGGACTCAGTCCTAAAATACTGCTAGCTCTAGAGCTCTACCTCACTGCCGTGGGTAAAAGAAAACGTTTGTAGCAGATTGGAAACTAAAGCGCTTTTGGTCCAAGTAGTAGCACCAGCCTAACGGCTACATGACTGCAGAAGGTTTAAGAGGAATCCCTGAATGATGGCCTTTGGAAAGGAATTATAGATTGGAGCTACTTGGTAATATACAACGGCAGCTGGTCCCTCCACAGACTACATCCCTTAGCGCTTCTTTCACAGGCTGAATGTTGAAGGTAGGGGGAGGCTGGGGATCACTAGTCTTCTCCATAAGCTTGCAGTAGACACACACCAGCAGGTACCAAGGCTGACGCTGTGCTCTTGAAGAATCCCACACTTGAGGCCACACTGTCAGGCTCTGTGCTGTCTGAGGGAGTCTGGAGTGCTTGTCCATGCACAAGGTGGAGCCTTGGGATTTCCTTATGTGGCAGCTTTGGCTGTTATGTCTTGAAATCCTCTCTCAGAAAATGTGGTAGGTATAGGGTTCACTATTCCACGGGGTTTTAGTAAAAATCACCCTGTATATTGTCATACGCCTATCACTGGGGGACGAGGCTATCTAATGAGTCACGTGAACTGGTGGTAGTCTTCGGGATAAGGGTAAAGAAAGATGACAGAAAAGGTAGCAGTGTGAGCCCTTTGGGATAGCTTATATTTTCCGCCTTGGAGCCCAACACCGATCAAGAAATGACACCTCCGAAAATGCCTGGGGTGATGGCATCTGTGTCCCTCAGACCCCAGCTGCTGTACTCCGTCATTTCAGCTGCACATTTACAACCACGCATTATCTGCGATTGTCTTCATTTCCTGTTTACATGGGTGTGCTGGGGATGTGCTTTCTGTGAATGGACTGGAGTTTAAGTCCTGTTTTCAATTCACTGGAATAATTCACCTCATTTCTCCAAGACTGGAGCTGGTTCTAGTCACGCGATGCTGCTTGGTTCTGTTTCACCTGGGCCTCCTTTGACCGTGGCTTCGATCTCTATGCCACCACCTGCACGGTTCTGAACACTGGGCCTGTGTGTGGAACGCACGAGGGATTGAGCACCACTTCTCACAGATGCTGTCCCTGCAGTGCTTCCTTTTGTCTCATTTATTGTACATTGGTTTCCCCTAGGGGGAGACAGAGGCTGTGGAAAGAAGGTTCTGTAGCTGGCCGCACTAAGGCTACCTGGGAACTTTCCATTCCATTGCGCTGCCCATCCCCACCCCCAATTTTAGTATTCACTGAAACGTCTTAAGATCAGTTAGAGTCAAAGTCACAAAACTCAGAATGAGTGAGCTCTGCTGCCTGTCACTGTACTTGCGACTGGGAACTGTGAGAGCTGTGTTGCGGCCTTGTAATTTATCACTGTTGTGTCAGAGACCTGGGGTGGCGCCCTATAGGAATATTCCCTTGTTCTCTGGGTAGGGGTGGATGGTCACTATCACTGAATGGGCACGACACATTCCCCACGACACAAGGGGGAAGTGATTTCGTGTAACCTTTAAGAGTAAGGCCTTGCTAAGTGGCCAGATTTGGGATTTGATTTCCCTCCTTTGTTTTCAGCCTTATTCGGTACCTTCAATTGCAATAGGTGTAGTTTCTACAGCTGTTTATAAAAAAGTTCCTGTTATAACCGAGTATCTTTTTGTCAGCTTATTAGTTTTTGGTCAAGATTTAGCTTGTGTTATAGCATTTCTTTGTGGAATGCTCCATGGAAGTGTCTTTTTTTTGGCTAATTACTTACAGCCTTGAGTTTTAATGTAAGATACTAAAAGTCAGATCTGTCCAGATTTCAAAGTCTAAGCTGTTTCCCCCACTCAGGGTGCTAAACAGAATTGGAATCTTTACTAAGACCTGCTCAAGGAAAGCTTCAAGAGAGAGCAGCCTCAGAGCCCTTCTCCGGTACACTGAACAGTGCGTTTCTGGGGATTACGAATTATATACAGTAGCCTTACTACTGCTAACCACTGTCAATAAAAGGTCACTCCATCCCCTCTGTGTGAGGACAACACTGAGAATGTATGTGATGAACTGGAATCCTGGTCAGTATTGGGCAATTTCAATGTTACAATATTGAATCCAACCCTGAGTGTACTGGTTCTGTGAACCACCTGAGAAACAATTAAACTTACTAAACAGCATTGGTTGTGGTATATCTATTTATAGGAGTCAAAGCTTTATGGGCTTTTATGTCGTTTTAAAGTACCTGAAGTGCTCTTTTGTGAGTTAAAACTTTGATGATGCTAGTAGAAAATGGGAAGGGCTCACAAACTTCTACAAAAAAGCCAAGGCTAGTTTTATTTGGACACCAAAAAAGAATGATCAAATTCTCCCCATTCCAACCAGCTAGACACAAAATGATTACAAGCTGGAAAAGTCTCATGATCGGTCACCAAAATCCACAGGAGAATCTTAAACGTTAGCAAGCACAAATTATCTCTGCTGCTGTTAGTGCCGCAGCCTTCATGGTGGCGTAGCACAGGTCAAAAGTTTCTGGTGGTTTCATCCACTTCAAACCGGATGCAAGAAACAACTTAGTCTTGGTGCTTTAGGCTGCTGTGTGAAAGTTCTCTCGGAAGATTTTCTCCCTGAAGAGCTCCCCTGCCCGAAAGATGCTGCAGGTCCCTGCCCCTTTCTTCTTCCAGCTAGCCAGAGACAGCCGGGCATCTCAAAATGGCCTATGCGGTTCCAAAATTCAGTCAAGGCAACTGTGAAGCAGGCTGCATGCCTTCTAGGTGTGGCATTAAAACCGTCATGGAATCTCTGGAGGACTGCGATGCCGAGGCAACCAGTGCAGAAAGTCTCAGGGAGCAGGGAAGGAGAGCCAGAATTCCTCCTGTCAGTAACAGGCCTTTTGGGGCTTCGGTCTAGAAGAAGGTGATTTTTTTGTGCTTCGAGTTGGGGATTTGACCCTTTGACTTCAGCCTCCGGACAGCCTCCCTCATGTGTTTGGGTTGCAGCGGTGGCGTCTCTCCCCACTTCTCACACACATCCAGTGCTAAGCAGAGGGAAAGGAGAACGTTTCATTATCACATGCAAACTTACCGATCACATAATCCTTTCGCATCCTGTAATTCTTATTCACTCTTTCTAAACTTGCCAAGGGAATAAATCAAGACATTTCCCTTCTCTCCTGCTTAATCAAGATTTCACAAGCTAGAGGTTAGCAATGGGAAGCAGCCAGGCTTTTTCTCAACAGAGAGGGCCTTCCTAGGGGTGACAGTGTCAGGGACAACCTACCATACAGCACACTAACCAGGTTCTCCCTGGGGATGGCTTTTCTTCTATCAGCAGAGACAAGCAAGCTGTGGTAGCAAAAAACAAAATCTGCTGTTTGTACCCTGGACTAATGAGAGGTATGCGGGGAGGGATTTTCCAGATAGTTCCTTGTCCCCTAGTATTGAAACATAACAAACAATAGTTGTGCTTTCCTAAATACGAGGCTTCCCCAGTGCAAAGGAAACTCCCACAGGTGCTTCAGCAAGCTCCTTGCTATAGGTATTCTTGAAGAGTGCCCCAGGGACAATCCATGTGTAACCAGCATCACTCACCTTCTTCTACCACCTCCCCAACGAAAACCTTGGAAATACCGGACATGGCAATGACGACATTCTGAGACACAGAGGTGCCAGTGATGGACTGGATCAGCTTAAAAGAAGAACAAAGACTGGTGATGATGAAAGCCTGGTTCAGCCGTGACACACGACAGTGAGGTAAAGCTCGCCCTTACCCTTTTAATGGCTGCCTTAGGGAAAGCGGACCGGCGGTACATTTCATAGCGGTTCAGCTGCTCCTCCGAGAAAGAAGAGACCAGGATTCTAGACAAAGAGTCAGCCAATTAGCTGATAGCAATGAAAGCTGAAGATATCACGTCAAGAAAAGCAAGTCTCAGACAATTATAAATCATACTGAGGGAGTCTGGTATCAGGCTTGGTGCCAATGAGGAATGGAGGTAACATTTCTACTGTTAAGGAATTTGACAAAATATCAAATACAATTTCTTTATTAAAGACAAAAGCTGAACTATGGGGCACAGTGTCATAATTTATAGACTGTGGCTTCAGCATTAGGCTCCCTCTCCCCCTAATTCTACCTTACTGCATTTCACATTGATAATAAAAACTTAAAATTTAATAGTTTATATTCAAACTAGTAGTTTTCTTTTTTTTTTTTTTTCTTCATCTTTTTGAGACAGGGTCTCACTATGCAGTTCAGGCTGGCCTTGAGCTCACTTTATAGCCCAGGCTGGTCTCGAACTTGCAATGACCCTCCTACCTCAGCCTCCTAAGTGCTGGGATTACAGGAGTGTGCCACCACACCCAGCTTAAACTACTGGTATGCAACATTAACAGATTTAGGGGGAAAATATTTGCAAAATATATACAAACAATACTTGTAATATATGATTAATTCTTTCAAATAAAAAGATGGCCAAACCAATTGTAGGAAATGAAAATAGGACACGAGCAGGAAATTTATAAAAATATCAATGGCCAATAAATAGAAAAACAAAACCTTCAGTATTAATTTAGGAAGTTAAAATGATAATCTGAGCTGGGTGTGGTGATGTACACCTGTCATCCCAGAAATCTGGGATGCTGAGGCAGGAGAACGGGAAGTTGGAGCTCAGCCCGGGCAATTTAGTAAGACCCTGTCTCAAAAAGCAACAAAGCGCTGGAGATGCAGGTCAGTGTGAAGGCCCTGGGTTCAATGCCCAGTACTACCAAAAAAACAAGGCCAAAACCCAGCAAAACAAAATAAAACAATAAAATACCTTTCAAAACTTTGGAAATATGTACAAAAACTTTTCATACTTTTGATAAGTCATTAAATTGCTCAGGTCGGACTCAAACTTGCAATCCTCCTGTCTTGGCTTCCCAGAGTGCTGGGATTACAGGTGTACACCAGCATGCCTGTTGTTTTTATTTTTTTATTTATTTTTTCCTCTGGTACCGGGAATTGAACTCACGACGTCGTGCTTGCCAGGCAGGCCCTGTGCCACTGAGCTAAATCCCCAGCCCCTGTTTTTTTAATATTGCCTAAACTAGCAATTATACTTTTAGGAATTTATCTTAAGAGTGCAGTGGGCAAATATGCAAAGATATGCTTAGATACATTACAGTGTTGTCAAAAGAAAAAAAAATCAACCAGAATAGCTATAGGGGCTGGTTAAAGTTCATCCATATAACGAGATACAATGCACCATTAAAAATGATTTATCAGCATATTTACTAACATGAAAATAGCTATACATATCAAGTATCAAAAAACAAATCTGAAAAGGTACATGCACAAATATTATGTCCAGCAAAAGCTCTCTTGGGTTTCAAAAAGAAAAAAATGTATAGGCCAAGAAAAGTGTATGAAATGTGTGTAGTTAAGTCAGAACTTTGAAATGGGGAAAGTGACTTACTGCATCTTCTGAATCTCATCTTCATCCACTTTCTGCTTTTTCTCTTTCTTTTCTTTGGTCTCTATTTTCAGTTTTTTGGCTGCAGGAGCAAGTAATGATGAGTCTTCCCTTTCACCTGGTGTTAAATCTGAGACATCTTGACTCTTGAGCTGGGAAAAACGAAAGAAAACCTGTTATACATTTGACCTACTTTCAGGTGTGGGCAAGGTAAAAAGAGATCATTCTTACAACATAACAAATCCATTTATTGAGTAGTTTTTTGGTTCTAGGCACAGACTGTACCATCAAGTGTAGATACAGGATTTCTCCTAAGGGAAGGTTATAGCTCAATCTGCAAGAAAACTAGCTAAATAATCCAGTTTTCTAATTTAGCTATGATCAGAGCTCCAGAATCTGTTTACAAAGTAATGAAATTTCAGGGATCAAAACAAACACTCTCTTCTCTTCTTTCCTCCTGGGCCTCCTTTTTTGAGGTTTTTTTTTTTGTTTTGTTTTGTTTTTTTGAGACACATCTTGCTATGTAGTCCAGGCTGGCCTTGAACTTGCAGTGATCCTTTTGCCTCAGCCTCTCCAGTGCTAGGTTTATAGACCTGTGCCACCATGTCTGGCTCCATAAATTTTTTTTTTTTTGTCTTTTTGAGACAGGGTCTTGCTATGCAGTTCAGGCTGGACTTGAGCTCAGTTTGTAGCCCAGGCTGGCCTCAAACTTGCAACGATCCTCCTGCCTCCTCCTGCTTCAGCCTCCCAAGTGCTGGAATTACAGGAGTGTACCACCATGCCTGGCTTTTTTTTAAGACAGGGTCTTGCTCTGTAGTCCAGGATGGTCTTGAACTCACTATGTAGCCCAGGCTGGCCTCAAACTCACGGAGACCCTCCTGCTTCAGCTTCCTGAGTGCTGGGATTACAGGTGCACGCCACCACGCCAGGCTTCATAAACAATAGTTTAATAAATGTCTGTTTAATAAGAGCAAAAATCATATCCAAACTTTGTCCTGACTTCACATGGAATCTTAAGACAACAAAGCTCATTAATGAGATTTAACTGTCCACCTTAGAGGAACTCAAATTTAAACACAAGAATATGGGAGGTAGATGGGAGTGAAGATAGTGTATCCTTGACATTTTTCAGATTTTTTTCTAGCTGATTTGCACAAGTTTTCTAGCTTATTTGTACTTCAATTTTGGAGATGTACATTTTCCTAAAAAAGCATCCATTTTCCTTATACTTCCACACCTATCCGGTTTAAGCTTGGATATTAAATTTTCTTTTCTTCTCAGTGGTGCTAAGGCCTTGTCCTCATGCTCTACCACTGAGCCACACACTCAGTCCCTATACTCTTTTTTTCTTTTTTTTTGGTCTTTTTGAGGCAGGGTCTCACTATGCAGTTCAGGCTGGCCCTAAGCTCACTTTGTAGCCCAGGCTGGCCTCAAACTCATGATGATCCTCCTGCCTCAGCCTCCTGAGTGCTGGAATTACAGGCATGCACAACCACGCTCAGCAGTCCCTATGTTCTTTAAGTGTTAACTCATTAGTATCTACTTTCATCGTTAACTCCTTGTTCCTATACTCTTCTGGTTTATTATCTTTCAGTTTCTTGGGTTGGGTCCTTATTTTCTTTCTTTTTTTGGCGAGGGGGAGGTCCTTATTTTCAAAACTCCGTAAGGCTATGAATTTTTAATAGATAAGACTTTGGCTAAATCTTTTAGCATTTGATATAATGTTAATTTCTTTAATATGAGGGTTATTTAAGAAACAGTTTAATAATGTCTGATGGTTAGTATTTTTGGGGGGAGGGGACAGGCTTTTTGTTGATAATATCAAGTATATTACACTGTACTAACAGGATGTGACCTGTAACATTTTTACTTTTAAGCATTTATGTTTATGTTTTCCTTTCTAGTTTGGTATGTGACCTTGTTTTTTGGTCTTTTTGAGACAGGGTCTTCTTATGCAGTTCAGGCTAGCCTTGAGCTCACTTTGTAGTCCAGGCTGGTCTCGAACTCTCAATGATCCTCCTGCCTCAGCCTCCCAAGTGCTGGAATTACAGGCATGCGCCACCACAATCGGCCCTGTGACCAGTTTTTAACAGGGCTTTAGAAGCATCACAATTACACTTTCTGTTGGGTGCAAGTTTCTGTACAACTAAGTTAATTACTCAAAATTCTTTTTTCTTGAGACCTACTTTAAGGCTTTTTTTTGGTTTGTTTTAAAGTTTTTTGACAGAAGGTCTCTTTTGTAGTCCAGGCTTGTCTCGAACTCACTATGTAGTCCAGGCTGGCCTCCAACTTGTGGCAATCCTCCTCCCTTAGCTTCCTGAGTGCTGAGATTATAGTCAAGTGCCACCACATCCAGCTTAAGGTATCTTTCTTAAAACTTCTGCCCTATTTTTCTCTTTTTCTAAAAGTTCTTTGTATATTTTGATGCAACCTTATACTCTGAAAGCCCATTTTCATCTAATCTAATGTTCACTCTTAAGACCTTGTAAGGTCTTTTTAGCTCCAAGACTCTGAGATTCTACTTCTGGAACTGGAACTCTGAGGATGGGGAGATTCTGGTGCCCTGACTGATACTCAGCCAGGCAACACTGCTGCGCACTTGTGTTGGCTCAACTAATAGGTTTGGGGTTTTGAAGCTACAGAGATCCTTGGGCACTAGCACTCATGTCACTGCTAGCTGTTAAACGTCCCAAGAGAGTAAAAACATGATTTAACCAGTGATTCTTTCAGAAATTTCCCTTTATCAGATCTGATCGACTTTTTAAAAATGAAAAGCTGTGCTTAAACAACATCTAAGAGAAAGTATACTGTGGTGGAGAGAGTGCCAGAAATTTTGGGGTTTAGTTCTTACACAAGGTCTCCGTGTGATATCGACTCCCAGTTCCCTCTCCAGGAAAAACAAGAAGATGCTTAAATTTCCTAGCTGGGCGTGGTGGCACACGCCTGTAATCCCAGCATCCGGGAGGCTGAGAAGGAGGATCACCGTGAATTCGAGGCCAGATGGTGCAAGGCCAGCCTGAATTACAGATCGAGACCCTGTCTCAAAACAAAACAAAAAACAAAGCAAAACAAACAAGAAAAAACAAAACAAAAAGTAGCTTTAATCCGTAAAGGCAATGATTAAAAATTTCACCCAGAGTTTGGTTCTCGAACAGAACCAGCCCTAGAATTTTGTCCTGTCCCTCATCCCTCGAGACTGCAATGTAGAGAGAGTGAGTTGGACTTTTTCTGGCTCGGGAAGGGCTAACCCAGGACAGCTACACACGCAGCCACTCATACAATCTTGGGGTACACCTTCCATCTCTTTATACCTCGCCTTCCTCCGCTACGGCTTCTTTCAAGTCCGCATCTCCGTCTCCATCAGTTTCCTCCGGGATTGCGTCAGTGTCTGCAGTCCCCGGGATCACGGGAGCGGAGGTCGTCTCATCTGACTCCGCTGTCTCTCCACCTTTGTCCGTGGGCGACTCTCGGGCACTGTCCATCGCAGCCAAGACTGGAGCGGGGAGGAGATCGCAGCGCTCTCAGCCGCCTGAGCGCCACAGCAAGCCCGTAGTTTATTTCCTGTTTGTCGCGTATAGATGACATCACCGCTATAGGTCCTCGGAGGGGTCATTTTGAAGCGCGCGAAAGCTTTGAGGGATCTAAAGGCTAGTGTAAACCACCCGACGTGCTCCGATTTTGTGGTAGCGGAGAGAAGAAAGGTTGGAAGTGTGAAGTCTTTCGCTGTAGGAAACCAGCATTTGTGAAGGGAAACAGTTTTGTTGACCGAGTCTTCAATTTCGCACGCACCTAGCGAGGGCGGAGCTCGGAGTCATCCCTAAAGAATTGTTCCAATTTATTGTCAGGAGACAACTACTGACCGCTTACTTTCAGGCGGGAACAGTGCTACGTGGTTACCGGGGAACAAAACAAACAAGCTTCTACTTAGTAACATGCTTTTTGGAGGGGCTTCAAAGTCTGAGTTTAAAAAAATGTCAATTTGGTTTATCTCATCAAAACTAAAGAGGACAAAGACGGTCTCTGCCTTGAAAGTCACCAGTGCAGACTGGGCGATCTGAGTGCCGAGAATGTTTTCATTTTCTTCCTCTTTTCCTGTGGAGGTAGGAGGGAGGGCGTTTTACTCATTTCTGTATCACTAGATCACTAGATCTCGCACAGATCACTTCATGTATACATGCTGCAAGCGCAGACTTGGAAATGCGGGCGCGCGTTACCATACTTTTTGTTTCCACACTGCCTGGATCATTATCGTATTTCCAGTGCCGTGAACTCCCCAGGGCTTGGGGTAGGCGCGTCCAGGTGGGCCCGTTTGTCGCTTCCAGCTCTTCGATGGGGGTCCGCACGCTGCATGGACACCGGGCTGCCAGAGGCCGGGAAGGGAAGGACTAGGTGCACCTGCGCTGCTGCGCGTGGCCCCGCCCAGCTAGGTGGGCGAGGGGCGGGGCAGGGGGCGCGGTGACGCGTGACGCCAATCCCGGAAGTGACGCGCTCGCGTGTGTGTGAGGGGGGGTAAAGCGGGGGGAAGGCGGGGGGAGGGGGGGTGGTGTCCCCGGCCGGTTCGGGGGTGCGTTGCCCGGAGACGGAAAGTTTGGGAGCCAGAGCAGGCTCGGCGGCGGGCCCGGGGAGGGGGTCCGGGGGGCGGCGGCGCTGGGGATGGGGAAGGAGCAGGAGCTGCTGGAGGCGGCCCGCACCGGGCACCTCCCGGCTGTGGAGAAGCTGCTGTCCGGGAAGCGGCTCTCCTCGGGCTTCGGCGGCGGCGGCTCCGGGGGTGGCGGCGGAGGTGGCTCCGGGGGCGGCGGCGGCCTCGGCTCCTCCAGTCACCCGCTCTCCAGTCTGCTCAGGTGGGTGCGCGCGCGGCCCGGCCCCGCCTGGAAGCCGCGGCCCCCGCCCGTCGGTGGGGTCCCCGGAGAGGTCGGGGCACCGAGCCTGGGCCGGTGGGTTTGCGGGGTCCCCGGGGCGACGGCGCGCGGGGGCTCGTGCAGCCTCCCGGGCCGCGGCGGAGAATGGTGGGAGTGCCCAGGTGGCACCGCGCCGCATGGCACAGCCTCGCTGCACCCTCGCCCGCTACGGGGTGTCTGCTGTGGTTTCTTACAAAAGCCACTTGAGAGCAAATACACAGAAAATCTCGCTCACCTCCTGCAGAAACTCCCACGCCTTGCAGCGTCTCGCGGCTCCCCTGGAGGAAATTCTGTTGATTCCTTCTCTTAGGACCTTGGAACCTTGCTCCAGGCTCTGCAGGACTAGGCTTTTGTTTATACTAAAATTGTAGATTTATGGCTCTCCAAGAGTTTGTCTTTGAGTCTCTCGCAGTCACCCTCGCTGCGTTCATCTTAGTTGTAGATGCAGGGTTCATCAGGGGGCTTTAAAGAAATAAAGGTCTAGAAAGCTTATTTAGGAAGCCGAAAGGTGCTTTAAACTTTCCCGAGATCCGTTAAACACTTGAATCTGGGGCTTTAGAGCTTGAGGGGAAGAGATCACTTTTGTGTAACTGGGAAGGAGGGTTGGAAGCACTTTGTCAGTGCGAGTGAAATGTGTTGGTTCCGCAGCGCTTTCATAGCCTGTTTTCCTTCCTTGTTCTGAGGTTTTTAAAGAAGTGGAAGTGCATTTAGAAATGGCTTCGTTAGCTTTTGTTCCCTATTAGTTTATGTAACTTCAATTTGAGCTTGGACCCGAGAAGCCTAAGGCTCTAACAGATTGTTATGTATTAAGCACCGAGTACCAACCAAGATCTTTACAGGAAGATTTTAAAAAGCAGTATAAAGAAAAGAACCCTCCCTTGGAACTTCCTTAAGGGAAGGAAGACCCAGTACTAGGATGCTGCTATTTCTCCAGCTCCCCACTAGAACAGTACTGGCTCTGGAATTACTCAAGATTTGTTGAATAAGAGAATCAGTGAGTGAACCATTTCTGAATAAACAGGCGGTGGTATTCCTGTGATTGTTGGATGTTCAGGGAACGGAGACATCACCTTAGGGTGGGATGGAGGTCAGGGCCTCCACGGGGAGGGGTCGTTAAGCTGGGTTTGAAGAATATAAGGGTCTGGGTCGGTGAAACATGATGGGAATGTTCCAGGTGGGCACATCTTGATCAGAGGTGCAGAAGTGAGGAGACTTGTTTGTTGTATGTGGGTCCCTAGGAGAACTAGTTGCTTGGACTCTTGAGTAATAAATAAGAATGTTAAAAAAAAAAAAAAAAAAAAAAAGGGCTGGGGATTTAGCTCAGCGGCAAAAGCGCCTGCCTGGCAAGCGCAAGGTCGTGAGTTCGGTTCCTGGTACCGGAGAAAAACCAAAAAAAAAAAAAAAAAGAATGTATTGGTACACTTCTATCAGAGCGATAGTCTTTTTCCTGTTTATGTTCCTAGTCTCTGCATTAGTGCCTGCTGACTCACAGGTGCTCAGTATATGTACCTTGGATGTGTGAATTGGGTTTTGAATCCTACCTGGGTTCTTTGAGTCTTTACAGTTCTGATGTTTGAGAGGTAAGGGGGAAGACTGTACAAGCGTGGAGGAGGCTGTCTCTGATGAGTTGCTAATGTAGCTTTTGGGGATTTGCCAGAGATACCTTAACCCTAGAATCCTCAAGTGAGAAGTTTTCACAAGTCACCTGCCCTCCAGCACAGGTGAATTGATTCTTAGTGTTCTCACTCCAGGTTGTTGGAATCTTGCTGAGGATTTAGCTGCTGTGGAGGTAAGCAAGGGTAGGAGTCTGTTGAGCAGTGTTTTCCCTTTGGGTCTCCCACTGATGTGCCCAGGCTCTGCCATAAGGTGTGAGTGGTGCCTCCTTTGCTCAGAGCTAGAGCTGACTCCTGACTGGCTCCTGTGTTTGTTGCGGAGGCTGCAGATGCCTGAGTGCTTCCCAGCCTCCCATCCCTGGGACTCCCAGGGGCAGGGAGGATCTTCGGGCACTAGTAACATTAGGTGTGTCATTAATTAGAGCTGACTCTGGTTAAACCTGGTGAAAGATTTCTGAGCAAATGAGACCATGCACTTAAATAATTCCTTGGTCAGCATGTCCTCACCTTGTAGGTTTGGACATGCTGGGGGTGAGTCCCCTGTCCCCCCAACTGCTTTCTCTGCCAAGGACCTTGGGTCATTCAGTGAAAGCTGTGGAATCAGAGCTTCAGATCTGGCCTTTGAATTAGCTGTTGGATGCCAGCTCCATTAGCACTGCCAGCAGTGACCTAACGCATGCAGCTATTCATGGAGCTTACAGCTGCATGGGTGTAGATGTTTCCAATCACAGGTGTTTGTCCATTCATGAATTTATGTGGTTCCTCCCCATTCCACAAAGGCAGTGTGGATATTGTTAAGTGACAAAATGTCCCTTTGCCTTATACTGCTTGGCTGTAGCTCTTAATTTCTTAACCTCCCACCTCACATGCCCAGTGCATGCAATCTAATGCCTCATCTGTACTATGCAGAGTGTCACTGAGGCGTTGAGGCTCATCCTGCTTTCACAGTTTGGCATTTTGGCCTGTCAGTATTATGTTAACATAATCATCCTTACCTGTTTCAGAATACGCCTGAGAATCAGAAAGTCAGCTAAGACCTCCACTTTAAAAAAATATTATAAACACTGTATTCTTCTGATGCTCACTTGTTTATACTATTCAGGCAGCATAATATTAGAATTAAAACCATTTGTTCTGTAGTGAGGCGGCCTTGGATTCACAATTCATGATCACCAGCTGCCTGACCTTCTGTAAGGTAACTACTGTGAGCCTCAAGTTCTGTATCTGTGAAATGGGAATAATATTACCTGCCTTATAGGTGTTGTCTCAGCTAATGACTAACAGACTTATTATGATTCCTGGCACATTCTCAACGCTTCGTGTTAGTTATCCTCACTTCATGTCGTTGGGTTTTGCCAGGCTGCACCTGCTATGTGCAAATTACTGTGCCAGACACATTTCAAATGATGATCTTTCATGCTTGGCGATCCCTTTCAAGCCATGGCAGATTAGAAACAGTAAATAAGAGAGAACCTGCTCAGGCAGGCATATTAATGCCATTCATTAACCAAATGTTCATCTATCACTGACTTTGTGCCAGGCCAAATGATTGCTAGATGCCCTGCAAAATTTATCTCAGACCTAGCACATTGTAGGTTCTCTATCAGAATCATCTCTTCTCCCAGTGTGATCTGCTCCCTTATAGAGTTTATGGTAGTGTATTTGTCTGTTTGACAGATTGACCCCCCCCCCCCCACATAAAGAAAAGATAGCTGGAGATACAGCTCAGCGGCACAGCGCCTGCCTGGCAAGCACAAGGTCCTGAGTTTGATTCTGGGTACCAAAACAAAACAGAAAATTCATCCCTCCCAGCCCTTAGAAGTTATCCACAGGGCCGGGTATATAGCACAGCTATATACAGGGTATATAGCATAGCGCCTGCCTGGCAAGCGCAGGGTCCTGAGTTCAATTCCCAGCACCAAACTAAAAACAAAAACAAAAAAAATGGTAGTTGTCGACATACAGGCTTTAGCCCTTCACACCTGAGTAGGCCCCAAAGGTCATTGTACTTAGTGCTATAATTTACATCTATTACAAGTTTTAGCCACCAAAGATTAAATTACATTCAGTAACTTGTTAGTGAAAGTAGAAAAATACACATTTTAGTTTTCTACTCAAAATGATTCAAATATAATTTTTGTTACTTAAAAGGAAAATAATAACTGGAAAGTGTAGTTAACCCAAAATGCTTAGTCCTACAGAGGTTGTAGATTGCACAGATTATGCTTGGGTGGCACAGACTCATTTTCTGACTGTGAAATTGGTGCCCTCAGTCTGTAGGTTGGGAGCTTGTGACAGGCACTGTGTTAAACTTTTTAAGTGATGGTAGTTTTCAGTGCTGGGCATGCAGTAGGCATTAAAAGTCTCAAGTCATGGAGAGTTTGCTGTATTTAGGATTATAGTTATTGCTTTCCAGGAAAGCAACTTCTGTCCAAGAATACGGTAAGATTTGGGTCACAAGTGAAGCCCAGCAGTCTAAAAGTCCAAAAAATCTGAGAAAAAAAAAAAGTCAGAATAAAAGTAATCATATAGTAGCTTAAAATTGAAGGTTGACTTATGAGCTACTCACTGATGCTTGTGACTGGAAAGGGAAAGTGGAATGACTTCTTTGGGGTTCGGAAGCTCAGGGAAACTAAACTATTTTGATTGTCATTGTGAGGGAGACGGTGTGGTGGTTTAGGGAAATTCTACACTTAATTTTTCAAGTTTTAAGAAAAAAAATAAGAAAAGGGGAGCCAGGGGGGCTTGCTGGAGAAACCTGAAAGTGTACAGACAGCAATAAACGTGGCTATAACCTTGTTGTTACTCTGCCGTCTTGTGAAAAAGAGAGTATCCCCAAATAGACTGAAATTTCCTAAGATATTGAAAGATTCCAAAGTAAGGAAGAGTAAAAATACTTGAAAAATGAACCCCACTTTGTGGACAGTAGCAAGGGCTCCCAAACATCAGAAGATAATTATTTTGAAATTTTGAAATTATTTTGAAGAAAAAGGTTAGTTATTTTTTTTTTAAATTCAGACATTTTTTTTTTTTTTTGAAAGAGTGGTTAGCATAACCATTCTGTCGATTGGCTCTTTGTTCACTCCCAGCATGGCTCTGTAGGGTGGAGATTTTAATGGCCTGACAGCTTTTTTTCCTGCTGACCCTTTGACTTTTGCCCCTGTTCTGTGCCGGATTTCTTTTGAACTTGTCTATCTTGGGCAAAATGATTTTAACATCCTAAGGAAGAGGGCAGCACTGACCATGTAAGGATTATGGGATGGGAGACCTGGAAACAGGATATCTCACTTCTTGCTCCTTTAAAACAATGCAAAAGTGAAAAAACAAAGC